TACTTTTGTTCTGTTTTCCTTTTTTACTGGTTTGAACATGAACAAAAGGTAAATGCTATAGAAATTGTTTCATTTTCCATGCTATATAAGATTCAAATATTTCTCCTTAAATACATGAACAAACTATATGATGCACAAAATAATAAATATCTTAATGTGTACCAAAACATCATCATTCAAAAGTAATCAACGAGAACATGATTAGAAGAACAAATCCAGATTTCACAACCACAAAACACCAAGACCAAAAGGCAAACAGAATCAAAAAAAAAAAATGTTACAAACCCAAAGAAAGATAAAATCTAGTCCTAATACAAGCATTCATTCATTCATGCAGCAGGATTTGAAACTTTGGGTTTTGGTTTCACTTCGACTTCATTCACACTCCGAACGAATATTCCATCTGGTTCATGTCTGTACAACAAAAATCGACATAAGCTCATAATAAGTATTTTATAAGTAATCCTTAAGGTGTTCTGAAGAGAGAGAGAGAGAGAGAGATTGATTACTGTTTTTCTCCCTCTTCATATGTATAGCTAGATGCAACTGCCAAGAGTTTTCCATCCCGGCTAAACGACAAAGCTGCAATGCTTGTTGGGTACTTGGCATACTTCACAATAAACGAGATGATTTGAACACGACAAGAGAAAAAGTTAGCACAAATATTTGCGTTTTCCTTTTCCAAACAGGTACTTTAATTCTAGAAATAAAAACCTGATTCGAGGTGTATATTATATTACCTGGTACAGCCTCTTCTTGTTGTTTCCATCCCATACATTCACATAACCATCACAGCCTCCAGTAGCAAAAGTACCATAGCTACACCATTGTTTATTCAACAAATAATATAAAATAGTGAAAAATAAATAAATTATACAGCTCAAAAAGTATATTACTAGAAAACAAAATATGAAACATTAGAGGCAAAACTTACATAGGATGAAATGCAATTGCATTGACAGGGTACACAATATCCCTTCCTGCTTCTGACTTCCTATGACATTTAAACGCATATCTGCAAAAGTGACCACAATACGAGTATGAAACAATCCAATATTCCATCTAAAAAGCTTTAGACAATCAAGAAGGGGGAATTCAAAGCACACGCCAATACGAGTATGAAATAATCCAATATTCCATCTAAAAAGCATTACACAATCAAGTAGGAGAATTCAAAGCACACGCCACAGGTCGGCCATTTTTTCTTCAAATCCGAAAAATATAACTCGGTGACACAATGTCAAACACTAAAGTCAGTCTATCACAGTTATCATCGGCAAGCAAATATTCTACTCGAGAGAGCACAACATACTTTTTCGACTGACCAGCCTCAGACAGATCAAAAAACTCCATAGCAACCCGACCTTCCACACTACTGAGAGCATAGCCTGCAAATCACAGATTTAAATAAAAGATTATATATATATGAAAATAAACCGATACATATTCCTGAGTTGAAAAAACAAAATCTCTCGATTAGCATCTAACTATTTTAGCATAAATCTGATCAAATAATTAAGATTGATAGAAATGCATTAACACCTGTCCCATTGGGGTAACATCGAACACATCTAGTCTGATACTTCAGTGATGATTCCCTTCTTTGTTCAGGCTGAGACATATTCCGAAGGTCATACACATTCACATGTCTTCCAGCAGTTGCAATCACTAATCGATTGCCAACAAGGGACATTGAGTATACTCGTTCGGGCTGGGAATATGTGCCGACAAGTGAATGCTCCTGACCACTTGCACCTCTGGGGTCCCAACACTTTATCGTTTTATCCCAACTACCCGTGATAACTTGGCCTAAAATAGTGCGAAGAAGTTATTATAAACAAATGAAAGAAATATGTCAATCAAGTGCACTCTGTGATTACTATTCTTGCAAACAAGATTGTTTTCTGTTATAGTAAACCGTTTATCAAGAAAATTCGCGAACTTTACAACATTTGAGATTGGACAACTTGAAGTTAGCAGAATAAGAAAAAAAACTGTACAGTGGCAACATACAAATGAGTAAATCAACTACTAGAATGACGTATTCATATCATATTAGCATCTACATAATAGACAACGGTTTACATTCTAAGCTGAACCCTCAAGGCTCAAACTGGGAAAGCAAGCCTACAAGCTAAGTTTATGCCCTAAACGATACTGAAAAGCAATAAAAGGTCACAACTTAGAATGGAGAACTCACCGGTTCCATATGAATACTCAATGCATCTAACAGGGGCATCATGCTTCCCCAAAATATCCTCCCTATTGTAGTTGAACACAAGCCTGGAACCGAA